AAAATTTCTTAGTTTTTCTTTGGAATATTTGTTTACCTTTTTTGCTGATTTATTTTCTTTTGTACTTTCTTATTAAAATATAATAGTGAACAATGTTCAATAAAGATTACTTGATATTGCTGTTAAGCTGCCATGGTAGCTGTTCTTCTGATACCAGACATTCAGATATTAACTACAGAAGCAGCCTTTCTATGATACTAGAAGTGATGGTAGGTTTTATTTATTTATTTAAAATTTTAAACAAATTTTATCTATATTGTTTAAAATAATACTGCTACGAAGTTTATAAAGTAAAAGTACAGAGCTCTGCCCTTCCCTTCCCCACCTTCTAATCCTACTGTCTCTATGAGCTAAGCATTGTTCTAGGTCCCAGGGATGCAGCAATGGACAAAATCAAGAAAAGCCTGTCCTCATGAAGCTTACATTCTAGATGTTACCTACATCCAGTAAATCTGTGTTGCTTACATCCAGTAAATCTGTATCTATAAAAACAAGTCAATAGATGATCTCTAAAATAAATAAATAGTAGCATATGTTTGTTTATTTTAGAGATCATCTTTGTTATTATAGACAGATTTACTGCCACCTAATCTCCCCTCAACAGCTCCTCCCAAAAGAATCGTGTCACAAATCTATAGTTGTTACTTATATCCCTATGACGGTGTAAAAGGTATTTACTGAAGAACAGCATTGTCTACTAAAATTCAGTTTCTTTTCTGGTACTAGATTTTCTAATTGCTTTGTCTTTTCACTTGCATAATTAGCATAACATGTTGAATTTATTTCTAAGTGTTCCAGAAGGATGAATTTTGTATAAATCAGTTTTAAAGTATTATCTAGTATTCATTATATGTTAAATGCTATTTCATAATCTATGGGAGAGGTAATCGATCTCTGCTTATGGAAGAGTCAAGCTTGTTGTCCTGGGACACATACTTGTAAGCTGTTGCTTCAGCAAAAATGTGGACCTTCTTATAAAGAATTTGTGACCGACTTTGAGCATGATGGGGTTCTAGAACGTTCATTTTGAAGTTCACTCGTTAATTTCCTTAGGAAGAACAAAAAGAATTGGATGAAATCACAGCAAAGAGGCAGAAAAAAGGCAAACAGGAAGAAGAGAAACCTGGGGAGGAGAAGACAATCTTACATGGTAATATATTTTTTATACTTCTTTATTTTATGAAAATCTTTCATATTACTGTATTCTCTGTTCATATAATATTAATTAACTTTACTATCAGCTGTTATAAAATCATTATATTAAGAATAATTATGTTGGACAATTTGTATCCCAAAGAAATTACAGCAGACTCTTCTGTGTACTAATAAAGGAGAGAGAATAGCATGATTAATGACAGCCGCAGATTTTTTTTGAAGTGTTAATGAATAAAAAAATGATAAGAAATTGAATGGTCCACAATCTGTTCTTTCCTAAGGCAAAGTTGACTCTTTTGCTGTATTAATAGTACCCCAGTCATTTTAACTGTTTTTAACCTCAGCCAAATATTCAGATATTCTCACAGTTCATGACCATTACTAAATTATACTTGAAAAGGATAAACTTTGTTTTTCATGTGACTGATTGGAGATTAAGACTCTCATATTTATTTTGACTTGTGGAAGGAAATGCATAGTAACCAAAATAAATTATAGTCTGGAATGTACCTCTTCTTTAATAATTAGTTATATTTAGGAAATTATGTAGTGATTATCTGAAACTGTAAAGTATAATTCAGCACTGGTAATGTTAATTATTCTGTTGTTATATCACATCAAATATTTAGGTTTGATGAAGCC